CAAAGTTGAGTTAGTAAACAAATTCAATATAGACCATAAACTTAAAATTTACCAATACCCCTCCCTATAATATACATCTTACTTAATCGGGTACGGGCTTTTCTCTCTCTTCTTATCTCCCGTAGGCGTTTAAGCAAGTGGTTTTGCCTCTTGCGCGCACAGGTAACTGCAGCCTGCCCAAAAATTGTGGATGGGCTCATCTCATAGGTTACCCCCAAATTTCTTAACCCAATTAGATGGGATGAGATAGTCCAAGCGTAGCTCTGCTGTTTCATATAGCGATAAAGGGCAATTGCGCTTATTATGACGTATGACGTATAAATATATAAAATATACCTGAGAATCCGTTATTCCTGTATTTTTTTTATTTTCTATTTTCCTTAAATATTTTGAAAATTTGGTCATATACTCAATTCTATAAAGAGTATTAGGCATGTAAACTTGTTTTAATCTCGGATCCAATAATGTTGAGACATATGATTCATAGCAAAATAATTCTTTGAGATATTTCTGTATTTTAACCAGCATGTTATTAAGAATTTCTTTTCTTGTATTGTTATTATCCTTTTTTATATTATTTAAAATTTCATTATTTATATTCTCCATATATAACGTGGAAATCCCAACTGTAGGATATTTGGATCCTGATAAATCAAGTGTGGTTTTATAGAAGGGCCTTAGAAAATCTACAGCCTCTTTAAGGTCTTCTTTTCCACACTCAGTAAAGAAAACCCCTTTAAATTGTTTGTAATTCAAAAAAAGTACTTCTTCTATAGCATCCATATTCTAAAAATAATATTTTTTAAAAATAATTGGATAAAAATGTAAATACCTCATAAATTGTATTCATCATTAAATAGGAGCTATTCCATCTAATAGGGATATCAGAAGGGATTTTAAATTTTGTAATACCCTTATTTTCACATATTTGTACATATGCTTGATTTATTTTGGGTGATTTATTTATAGAAAAGGCTATGTCTCTACACTTTTCTAGGATAGTTGTAATATATGATAAACCTTCCTGAGATATTAGGTTTAGAATATAAGCACAACATCTAAAGCCTTTAAATTTTTGTTCCTTATAAATATTCTGCAAAATATCCATGCTTTTTAGGATGTTATTGGCATTATCTGTAGTACAGGCCAGTATATTCTCCTCCAATTGATGTACATCAATTACTTCTTTTATAGCTAAGGATATTTCTTCAGAAGTATGAGGAAATGGGATATGATTTATATCAAGTAAAATATTTTTTAATGTAAAAGAAGAATCAATATAGTGTGCAGTAATGGCTATAAATGAAATTTTATTTATATTGCTCCACATATCTGTGGAAAAGCTTATTAAAGAATTATTTTTATTTAAAATATTTTTTAGAAAATTTTTTAGTTTCTCAAAATTAGCTGTATAAAAATTTTTAACTTTGTTTTTTGACCAAATTGTAGCAGTTGAGTTTAAATATTTGATTAAATTATGAAGACCTGAACTTTCAAAAGTCCTCTAAAAGAAATAAAAGAAAGGACTTATATCAACTATTACCATTTAAATTTAAATCAAATTTATTACTATATATTTTTATCTAAAAACATTATATATATATATATAAAAAGTTAATTGAACATATTAAACAATCAACTTAAATAGTTAATATATAAAATAAACAATATTCAAATTTAAATCAATCAACATTCCCCCTCTTCTACAAAGAACTAATCTTCTTCTCAGCAGTCATCGAGAGCTTGTTGTCCCAGAAGTTTTTTTCCGTTTACTCGGTTTCATCTTGGTTAGCACATAAGTCTCAAATGTTCTCGTAGGCTTGATTCTATCACGTAGGTTTGATAAATCGTTTATTAGAGTTGCGTGAGTTTGTACGTTTTTTGTAGGCTTGAATCAATCGCGTAGGTTTGATAAAATCGTTGAACGTTATCGTTGGTTTGATATCCTTATCGTATGTTGTTCACATTTCTCAAAATTGTTATTATCATTTTTCATAATTAATCCAGTCGAATATTGGAATTTGGAATAAATCGGAATATGTAATTTGGAATAGTTGATCAAATCAAATATATGAACAATATGCACGAATAAAATTTTGAATTTCGGAACAATAAAATATGTAATAAGGAATGATAATTTATGGAATAAGGAATAAAATCCAGAATAAGGAATGATAAATCATAATGATTATTATATTATTTTTTATTAATCATAGCGTTTTATACTTTTAGCGTTTTAAGCGTTTTATATTTTTAGCGTTTTATATTTTTAGCGTTTTATATTTTTAGCGTTTTATATTTTTAGCGTTTTATATTTTTAAATTTTAAGCACGTAATCTTTTAAGTAATCAGGTTTATTTTTAATTCTTATTGGTCTAGTAATTGGTATCTTAATCTCATTCTTCGTGTCCACACTTCCCCCCCTTAGAGGAATTTTTAGGGTCAATTTCATAATATTTTAAACTGTTGTAACATTCTCTTTTCCTTAACTGATCAAGATGCCTACTTACTATCCCTTTATCAGTATAAACTTGAAACATGGTGTTACTCTCTTTAAGCTTGATGCTGCCTTTGCACCACGTATCATCACCCTGTTTCTTATACCAAACATAATCTCCTCTATTAAAAGTTCGATTTCGTGGTAACGACATGAAGACTTCACCAACTTTATCCTCCAAAGGTTTTAATAAATCCCACTTTATTCTAATGTCGCGGTTAAACATTCTTTTGGACGGTGTAACTCCCGTAGTGTCATTCGGCGTGTTTCTATAGTTGAACAAAAATCTGTCCAGCGCAGTTTCTAAGTCAATCTTTGTGTTCCTTTTCATATGAGCTTTAAATGTTCTCACCATACGTTCAGCTTGTCCATTAGATTGCTGATGATAGGCCGACGTTAGTACATGTTTTATACCATAATTGCTACAAAATTTTTCAAAATCTTTGCTCGCAAAATTGGTACCATTATCTGTAACAATGGTTTCAGGTATACCAAATAGTGAAATAGTTTTATAAATTTCCTTTAACGTGAATTCAGTCGTAATACTCTTTACCGGAACTATAACCGGAAATTTACTGTAAGCATCAACGATTATCAACCAATTCTTTGTAAAAAACGGACCCGCATAATCTATGTGTATCCTTTCAAATGGTTTAGTTGCTGCTACCCATGGATTTTGTATTTTCTTTGGATTGTCATGATAAATATTACAATCATCGCAACTTTTGACTTCCAAATCAATGTCGTTGACCATACCAGACCACCACATACGATCTTTGGCTAAAGATTTAATTTTACCTGCTCCCAAATGACCTTCGTGTAACGCCTTCAGTATGTTCTTTCTCAGACTTGACGGAATTATTATTTTGTCGCTTTTGTACAGACAATCTTTAATGATACTTAGTTCTTGTTCAATATTTTCATAAATTTTATTTTGGATAAAAGAAATAAAAGAAAGGACTTAAATCAACTATTACTATTTAAATTTAAATCAAATTTATTACTATATATTTTTTATCTAAAAACATTATATATATATATATAAAGTTAATTGAACATATTAAATAATCAACTTAAATAGTTAATATATAAAATAAACAATATTCAAATTCAATAAAAAAAGAATTAATTTAAATAGTTTCTTAAATTTAAAACACTTTCTTTTATGGTGCCCCGGTTACGGTGGTACGTTTTTCGTTTTTCTTTCAAAAAATAAAATAAAGTTAAATAATAAAAGTTAAAAAAAAAATATCCTTACCTTGAATTCTTTTGTAAAAAATAAAAGGTAATGGAATTACTTATCAAATTCGTCGTTCGATATGGGAGATGATAAAGGACAAATAAAATTTTTTGACTTTTCTTTTCGATAGTCAAAATTTTATCCAAATTTACAAAATTATAAAAAGGTAAAAAAATAAAAAAATAAAATAGAGTATATATATATATATAAATAAAGGAGTTATATGATAAAAAATATTTTTTTCATCTAAATCTTTCAATTTTTACGTCGTGATGTTTTGTTTTAAAACTTATAATATACCTCAATACGTTATTTTTGATAAAATGTTGAAAGAAATGGGAATATGTAAAGAATTTTCTTATGTCCGTGACAATAGGACGAACGAAATTGTTTTTTATTTTAAATCTTTACGAAAAATGATTGATGCATATATGTCTCTAAATGGGAAACCCTATATTCTTGATGACAATAATTATATTTTTATATTTTGTAAAATTATTGAATATTAAAATTTAAATATCTTTATGCTTTACATATTTGACATTATATTTATAGGGTAAAGAAAATTTTCCCTATATTTCATTATTAAATATAAATTTACGCAATGTTTAACTTATAGAATATCAATAAATTTTTTTTTCTAAAAACTTAGTCACGAATTAGTATTAAATTTTTCACAGACAAATTATATTGAAACTTAGTGGATTAAATCCTCTTTACGAATTCGAATTAGAATTTTTATAGATAAACTATTAAAACTTAGTGGACCATATTCTCTTGATTAAAATTAAAATTTTTAGACAACTTAAATTTGATTTTAATGAACTACAATGTTTTGCTTTTACGATTTTAAATATTGAAAGTTTACTTTACTCAAATAAAATTATATCATGGACGAAAAATTAACTCTTACACACACTCAATATGTTCCTAAATTTCCCAAGTTATCAGGAAAATTATCTGAGACTTATCTTAACATACTTTAAAGGACATATTGAGTCAGACTCATCTAAAGTTAGGACACTACTATGCAGCTTACCAATTGAGATTGTAGACCAAGTTACGTCGATATGTTCTAAAGCACAGTTAAAAGACTTTAATATTGTTTTTGGTAAATTGAAACTGTTAATTCCAAGTGAGGACATTAATGTAAATATAAAGAACTTTAACTTAGCGGTACAAGGTGCCGAGGAGTCCTTCCATACTTTTTATTTTAGAATTTCAAAACTTCATAAAAAATGCGATTTTGATAACGATACAAGAATGATTGAGAAATTAATAACTTGTTCTTTAAATGATAATATCAGAAGGAAGTTAAATAAACATAAGCACGAAGGTTTAGATAAGATGATGAAATTAGGAGTGGAGCTAGATGGCAGCAATATTAAACCGGACGTTAGCGATACAAATTATGTAGACAATGATAAAAAATTGGATAAAAATAAAAAATTTTACAATTTAAACATGGATAAAATACCATGCAAAAGTACTTTTAGTAATAATGAGAATAATTCTAATGATTATGAACATAATAATTTTAAAGAAAATAATTTTAATTATAATGGTCGTAACACTCATAAGGAAAATTTTGATTTTAAGAAGAGGAATTATAATGATTTTAGGCCTAATTATAGTGCTAGCCGAAACTATCAAAACAATATTTTTCGAGACAGTGAGGGTAACTCTAGAAATTTTCGTAATAACCAATCTTCGAATAACAATTCAAACTATTACGGAAGAAACTCCATGTGGCACAACAATAATTATAATAGAAACAATGCCTGGCAATACAATAACAATTCAAACAATTATGGTAGAGGTACTTGGCAAAACAATAATTATAATGGGAGAAACAATTCCTGGTCTTACAACAATCAAAGAAATCAGAGTCTATATAATAATCGATATGGTTATCAATATCAAACCTATAATAACAACAATAATGGAGAAAATAATACGTGGAAAAATTATAATCAGAATATTAATCAAAGAAAACCATTACAATATAATGACGTGAATCAAAGTAACATCAATTGTAACATGAACATTGAAGAGATTGTTGAAGAAAAATATAACCCTACACAAAATAATAATGGTAGTGATTTTAATATCAACAATTTAACTGAGTTTAAACTTAATGATAATGCGTTCATGACCACTTTAAAAGTAAATGATGCTGTTGTTACTATGCAGGTTGATACGGGATCCAAGTTTACAATTATACCTCATGATATGGCTAAACAAATAGGTATTAAAGATCTTAAAAAGTCCACTCTACAACTCACAGCTTATGATGGAAACTTAATCAAAATTATTGGCGTCACTCAAGTTAAAGTAACCTACGAAGGTATCACCAAACACTTGCAAGCCGTGATCGTTAAATCTAATAAAAATGCTTTATTGGGACGTATGTGGATTAATGCTTTTAGTAATATTTTGAACAAATTTATAGCAAACATTGATACCAACTATGAAGATGAAATAAAGAAATTAATAAAAGATTGCGAATCTAAACTGACTAAAAAACCGATTAACAAAGGGAATGTCAAGATATATCTACGTAACGATGCCAAACCGAAAATCATACCACCTAGACGGTTACCTTATTCAAAGATAGACGCTGTTACTAGAGAACTTATGAGATGGATAGGAGATGGAGTCATTGAGCCTGTAACAGATGTCCGATGGGCAAGTCCGATAACCGCTGTCTACAAGGATAATGGGAGCGTTAGGGTTTGCGCCGACTTCAAAGACACTGTCAACCCAGCCCTTGAGGATTTCAGATACCCACTTCCAAGAATAAATGATCTTATCGCTAAGCTCAAGGAAGGGAAGAAGTTCACCAAGATAGATTTCAAGGATGCGTTCCTATAAATTCCCATCGATGAAACCTGCAGAGACATATTAACTATATCTACACACAGGGGGTACTACCGGTTTACCAGACTTCCTTTTGGGTTAAAGACTTCATCTGCGATTTTTCAACAAATTATGGATCAAATTTTCAGTGACATGAAAGATGTCATATTTTATATTGATGATCTACTAATTACGGGAAGTAGTGACGAAGTTCATTTCAACAACATAAAGAAGGTTTTTGAAAGAATACTATCTAATGGTTTAGTGCCTAATTTTGCAAAAAGCTTATTTTTCAAAAAAAGTCTAAGGTTCTTAGGACACGACATCGACGCCAAGGGGATCCACGCCAACCATGACAAGATCGAGGCGATCGTTAAAATGCCGGAACCAAAATCAGCCGCGGAATTGTCAACGTTTCTAGGTATGGCCGGGTACTATAGAAAATTTTTGAACAACTTCGCTGAAATAGCTGATCCTTTATACAAGATTGTTAACAAAGAAAAATGGGAGTGGAATTTAGAACACTCCAAAAGTTTTGATGATCTAAAGACATTGATTAGTCTTCCTCCAGCTTTGACGTACTTTAATCCTGAACTACCTATCGGAATTGCGACTGATGCATCTAAAAGAGGTTTAGGAGCTGTTTTGTTTCACACTGAAAAAGATGGCAAAGAAAAACCGATAGCTTTTGCATCAAGAACTTTAGCAAAATCCGAAACAAACTATACCAATATTGAGCGTGAAGCTTTGGCCATTATGTTTGCTATCAAGAGATTTCAAGAATACTTGATAGGGAGTAAGTTCACTATTATAACGGATCATAAGCCGCTAATCCATATTTTCACCAAAGGGCTCAAAGATAATAGCACCATGTCATTAAGGTTACAGAAGTGGAGTATAATTTTGGGGGGTTACGACTTTAACATCAGATATAAAGCTGGTAAATACAATGTTGTTCCCGATTGCCTCTCAAGACTACCACAAGTAATTGATGATGACGTTATTGATGATATCGCGATTATAAATGACTTTGGCGATATGCCTCTTAGTTTTGACCGAATACGTGATAAAACATCCAAAGATTTTGAATTATCTCAAGTTATGAATGATATAAGAAATAATGTGCCTATCCAAAATAAAATTTATGAAAATATTGAACAAGAACTAAGTATCATTAAAGATTGTCTGTACAAAAGCGACAAAATAATAATTCCGTCAAGTCTGAGAAAGAACATACTGAAGGCGTTACACGAAGGTCATTTGGGAGCAGGTAAAATTAAATCCTTAGCCAAAGATCGTATGTGGTGGTCTGGTATGGTCAACGACATTGATTTGGAAGTCAAAAGTTGCGATGATTGTAATATTTATCATGACAATCCGAAGAAAATACAAAATCCATGGGTAGCAGCAACTAAACCATTTGAAAGGATACACATAGATTATGCGGGTCCGTTTTTTACAAAGAATTGGTTGATAATCGTTGATGCTTATAGTAAATTTCCGGTTATAGTTCCGGTAAAGAGTATTACGACTGAATTCACGTTAAAGTAAATTTATAAAACTATTTCACTATTTGGTATACCTGAAACCATTGTTACAGATAATGGTACCAATTTCACGAGCAAAGATTTTGAAAAATTTTGTAGCAATTATGGTATAAAACATGTACTAACGTCGGCCTATCATCAGCAATCTAATGGACAAGCTGAACGTATGGTGAGAACATTTAAAGCTCATATGAAAAGGAACACAAAGATTGACTTAGAAACTGCGCTGGACAGATTTTTGTTCAACTATAGAAACACGCCGAATGACACTACGGGAGTTACACCGTCCAAAAGAATGTTTAACCGCGACATTAGAATAAAGTGGGATTTATTAAAACCTTTGGAGGATAAAGTTGGTGAAGTCTTCATGTCGTTACCACGAAATCGAACTTTTAATAGAGGAGATTATGTTTGGTATAAGAAACAGGGTGATGATACGTGGTGCAAAGGCAGCATCAAACTTAAAGAGAGTAACACCATGTTTCAAGTTTATACTGATAAAGGGATAGTAAGTAGGCATCTTGATCAGTTAAGGAAAAGAGAATGTTACAACAGTTTAAAATATTATGAAATTGACCCTAAAAATTCCTCTAAGGGGGGAAGTGTGGACACAAAGTATGAGATTAAGATACCAATTACTAGACCAATAAGAATTAAAAATAAACCTGATTACTTAAAAGATTACGTGCTTAAAATTTAAATATAAAACGCAAAAAATATAAAACGCTAAAACGCTAAAAGTATAAAACGCTATGATTAACTTAACACCTAAAAAATAATATAATAATCATTATGATTTATCATTCCTTATTCTGGATTTTATTCCTTATTCCATAAATTATCATTCCTTATTACATATTTTATTGTTCCGAAATTCAAAATTTTATTCGTGCATATTATTCATACAGTTTTAGATTTAAGAAACTATTTAAATTAATTCTTTTTTTTAAATCAAATTTTATTATATCTATTATTTCTTTTTAGTATCTATATATATAAAGTTTTTAACATATTAAACAATCAACGTTAATATATTTTAAAAATAAACAATATTAAAATAAAACTAAAATTAACTATTCAAATTTAAATTTATTTAAATATATAATCAATCAACATTCCCCCTCTTCTACAAAGAACTAAGCTTCTTCTCAGCAGTCATCGAGAGCTTGTTGTCCCAGAAGTTTTTTTCCCGTTTCGATTGTACTCGGTTTCATCTTGGTTAGCGCATAAGTCTCAAATGTTCTCGTAGGCTTGATTCTATCACGTAGGTTTGATAAAATCGTTTATTAGAGTTGCGTGAGTTTGTACGTTTTTTGTAGGCTTGAATCAATCGCGTAGGTTTGATAAAATCGTTGAACGTTATCGTTGGCTTGATATCCTTATCGTATGTTGTTCACATTTCTCAAAATTGTTATTATCATGTTTCATAATTAATCCAGTCGAATATTGGAATTTGGAATAAGTCGGAATATGTAATTTGGAATAGTTGATCAAATCAAATATATGAATAATATGCACAAATAAAATTTTGAATTTCGGAACAATATGTAATAAGGAATGATAATTTATGGAATAAGGAATAAAATTTTAATCCAGAATAAGGAATGATAAATTATTATATTATTTTTTAGGTGTTAAGTTAATCATAGCGTTTTATACTTTTAGCGTTTTATATTTTTAGCGTTTTATATTTTTTGCGTTTTACATTTTTTAGCGTTTCCATATTTAATTAGTAGCGTTTTAATACTTAATTTATTTTTATTTATTTTCAATCTCCGAGGTTAAAATATGCAAATATTATGCACATTTCCCTCTCTTAAAAAAAAATTTAAATTTCACACAATATTTTTCTAAAATAATAATGTTTAATTTTTACATAACCTTTTGTCTTCAAAAGCTTTATTTCAAAAACATTTTTATCATATTAAGTATTACTTATAAGGGTTATTTAAATCAATCCCTTTTAATTCATATGTTTTAATTACACTTTAATATCATTGGTCTCACAAAATAGAATTCATAACCTATCGTTCAACTTCCATATCAGTTCTTCCTAGGTTGTCACATTAGGTTAGGTGCTGGTTATCATATTCCAGTCCAACATCCAGAGCCGGGACACCATGAAGAAAGAAGCTTTTTGCATGAAAGAACGTGCTAACATCTCCATAGATTAGGCATTGGTCATATCAATAGATTAGGCAGTCACAATAAATAAGGTAGTCACAATAGATAGTCATCTCCATAGGTTACGCAGTCTCCATAGGTTAGATAGTCATCTCAGTAGATTAGGTAGTCACAATAGATAAGGTAGTCATAATAGGTAGTCATCTCCATAGGTTAAGCAGTCTCCATAGGTTAGATAGTCATCTCAGTAGATTAGGTAGTCACAATAGATAAGGTAGTCATAATAGGTAGTCATCTCCATAGGTTAAGCAATCTCCATAGGTTAGATAGTCATCACAATAGGTAGTCATATAAATAGAGTCATCTCAATGGATTAAGCAATCGTCACAATAGGTAGACATATAAATAGAGTCATCTCAATGGATTAAGCAATCGTCACAATAGGTAGACATATAAATAGAGTCATCTCAATGGATTAAGCAATCGTCACAATAGGTAGTCAAATCAATAAATAAGGTAGTCATCAATTTCAAATTTAATTTAATTTATACTTTTTTATTTTAATTTTAGGCAAATTTTCTATATTTTATTCTTTTTTTTTTTTTACAAAAACATAACAGGGCGCCATAAAAGAAACAAGAAGTTAACAAATATTTATTCTTAATAAAATTTTTTTACCTTTTATAATTTTGTAAATTTGGATAAAATTTTGACTATCGAAAAGAAAAGTCAAAAAAATTTTATTTGTCCTTATATCATCTCCAATATCGAACGACGAATTTGATAAGTAATTCGTTTACTTTTTATTTTTACTAAAGAATTCAAGGTAAGGATATTTTTTAATTTTTTTTTAAAACTTTTATCATTTAACTTTAATTTAAAACGAAAAACGTACCACCGTATAAAAGAAATAAAAGAAAGGACTTATATCAACTATTACTATTTAAATTTAAATCAAATTTATTACTATATATTTTTATCTAAAAACATTATATATATATATATATAAAGTTAATTGAACATATTAAACAATCAACTTAAATAGTTAATATATAAAATAAACAATATTCAAATTTAAATCAATCAACATCCTCATTGGCAGAGAGTCCATTATTACCCTTTTTATTATTAATTGGTTCATATGTTCAGTTTGAAATTTATCCAATGGTATTGAAGAAAGTGATTTTGTGCTTGTGGAGGCATATTAAAATTAAGAGTAGATTGTGTTTTTGAGATATTTCCATTTTCATCATTAGAAGTATATATTTTATGTTTTATCAGATGTCTGCTTAATGTACCTAATTATTTTATTAAGAATAAGGTTAAATTATTTTGACAATGAAT